TTCGGGACGCAGAAGCGATCTGGCGACAGGTAAGTCGCCAGGATCGCTTCTGTTGTAAAGCCGACAGTCGGCTCTACAAGTTTAAACAGAGTCCCGGCGGCAAAAGTCGCCGGGAGTCTGTTTAAACAGCCCCGATGCTGGCGACGTACACTGTACGTCGTCAGTCACGAAGGGGTTAAAACAGAAACAACATATGCAAAAATGGTGTACTGTGTGACTGACCAAAAATATGTATCCTTGAATGCAAGGAGAACACACAAGGAGATCTACGACTAAGCCTGTGATTGGGTGAAACGTGTCAGGGGAAGCAGACCTTGGGTGGGACAACAGTGATGGAGTATCTTAAAACAGAAACAACATATGCAAAAATGGTGTACTGTGTGACTGACCAAAAATATGTATCCTTGAATGCAAGGAGAACACACAAGGAGATCTACGACTAAGCCTGTGATTGGGTGAAACGTGTCAGGGGAAGCAGACCTTGGGTGGGACAACAGTGATGTGGTACAAGCTTCAATAAACTACTTCAGCGGAACCTGTTATGCGGCCAGATTTTCTTCTATTTATCCTTGAATATTATTACATTCTTTATCGTATTGCTTATCTATCTTCTCACTTTACTGGCATTTTGTATTGCTTTTTTTTCTGCTTTTCCTCTTATGCTGCACTTTTGGTAATGCTGTATTTCTGAGAATTAAACGTTTAGCATTAGCAAACCAAGTTACTGAAACGCAAAATTTATTCTGTGCTGTTTTGTCGTTTACGCTACATTAACTTGTCCGTTAATGATGTCTGTGTTTGTGTTTTGCTGGATGGTGGTGGCAGGTGGTGGACATCATGCGTGTAAATGTGGACAAGGTCCTGGAAAGGGATCAGAAGCTGTCTGAGCTGGATAACAGGGCAGATGCACTCCAGGCTGGGGCCTCGCAGTTTGAGACAAATGCAGCTAAACTGAAGAGGAAATACTGGTGGAAGAACTGCAAGGTGAGAACCACTAATCTGAAGAGTGTAGTCAGGATAGAGCACAACATTAAGAATAAAGTGGAAATACATTATGAATCAAGTTAGGGTGTCATGGTGGTTATTTATCCATATTCATCAAATTTACAATAAGACACCAATGTCTAGGACAGTAGGATAAGAAGAGGAAGCAAAAACACATAACATTTATAATTCATGATTACCTTTTCCTCTTCTGAGCACTCCTGAACATTTTAGGTAAATCCAGAAGCAGAACAAAAGTGGAAAGGTACCAAGGAAGTCACAAGACTCCCTGTAACTAGGGTTTTCTTACTTAGAACTTCGGAGATCATGTTGCCCTCACACAGAAGAATACAAATTCTCTTTAAAGAGGAACTTTAACCACCAATTTAATGTCTCCCAAAACATTAACTTATAAGGCATTAAACAACACAACAAATGAAATGGGGCTTTTAAGGTGTCATACCCAGAGTACAGTATATGGGACACAAACACATACAGTACATCAACATCACTAATAACATGTATAGTTTTTGGTGCAAATATTTATTGAAAATACCATCTCTATTAAAATATATAAAACGTCTAATAAACACATACTCCAATCACAGCTCCCATTATAATGTTGTTGGGAGCTTATCCAATAGCATAACACCCCCCTGGACCATACGGGCACATTGTATATAGTAATATCCATCTGACAAACTGCTTTATCAATTTTCTCATCAATACAAATACAACATATTTCTTAATCATAATATTCGCAAAAGTTTCTTGCCAGTTCCTCTCAGCCACGCTATCCATCTGCATATTCCACTCTCCCTGAACAAATCCCTGCTGCACCACAACACACCGTCCAAGCCCCATGATGTGCGACGTGTACACAACACATACCTGCCAATACAGTTACATTGGGACAGATCCGCCTGTCAGTTTTTCAGTGTCATGTGAAAGGAGCCTTAGGTTCCCCCCCGCCAAATTTGTTTTGTGGTCTATGTCCCTCCTCAGAAGATGTGAATTTCTCCCTATTTGAGGAGATTTCCTCTCACTTCCTGTTGCGTCTCTAGGACAGGAAGAGAAGGAAAATCTCACCAGGAGAACTAGGACAGCAAAAAAAAACTTCTTACTCAAAAAAGAAAGAAAGTTTGACTATACCTGTACATACACTTAAACAATTATGATATTTTGCATTTATTGGACCAAGATATGTAAAAACTCCCACACCTGTGGAGACATTTGTGTTATCTTGCTGTGCATTCCATTGCTCTGTTAGCTGCCTTAATAAAGTGACAATAAACACTAAATTCAGGAGTTAAATATTAAAAATGCATTCAAGGACCTTAACTATTAACAAAAATGTATCTTATTTGTAGGGGTCCACCAACACCGATACTATTCTCGGTGACGATACCGAGTATTTGGGTGAGTACTCGTACTCGCCCAAATGCTCCGATACATACCTCCGATACCAGAACTTTCAGCCAGAGGGAGATCTTCCTCTGACCAGGGAGCATGGAGGGAGGCTTCCTTCCTTTTGATACCGAAAAACCAGTATCGGTGCATCCCTATTCATTTCTGTATCACGCTATAGATCCTCAAATCATCTCTGAATTGGTGCTGACACTGTCCTTCCTTCTGGAGGGGGGCTACTTGTGTTCTCTATGGTCCCCTAGTTTACTAATTTGTATTGAGATTGTAGTCCATCACGGGAGAGAGCTTGGAGTGGTGACTACTTTACAACACACACAGGGGCCATGGGGGACAAAAGGAGCCACCCTCCAGAAGGAAGGACAGTGTCAGCACCAATTCAGAGATGATTTGAGGGTCTACAGCTGAGTGATACGCAAATAAGATACATTATTGTTAATAGTTAAGGAACTTGAATGCATTTTTAAGATTTAACTCCCGAGTTTAGTGTCACATTAGGTGTAATTGAAAACAGCCCTCCCCATTACTTTAATTTTCTTGTTACAAGCTCCCAAATGATTCATCTATAAATACTTTCAGAAACTATTGTACATAATCAATGACAATTCTATGTTACTATGTAAGAAAATGTAGAGGAACGTTCACAGAGGATCAGTTGACTCCTACCATCTAGGAGTCAACTTACCAACTAATAGTTACATGAATGATATAAGAATAATTAGCAGGATGTGCTGGCCAATGATTGTGTCTTTCCACAGATGTTGATTGTCATGGGAGTGGTGTGTGCACTAATGTTCATCATCCTTGTAAGTAAGTATGTGAGCATATCCTAAGCTAAGTACACTATATTCCATTATTCTGTTTTGTACGTTTCATGTTATACTGTATATATTATATGGAATAAAACAAGAGGAATGTTCTGTTTTCCTGCATAAATGCCTCTTGAAATGTCGCCATAGGGTCCTTTGTCACCCGTCTGAGGATTGTATGACGTGCCCCCAGGGCAGTTGGAAGGGTGAGGCGAGTGAGGCGTTTGCCTCGGGCTCAGCCGCAAGGGGGCACAGATGGGGCCGGACCTGTATTCAGTGAACACAGCACTGAAATCTCCTGTTTAGTAGCGCTATTATAAACGCGGAGCTGCCCTCTTCCTCTGTGACCAGCTAACACTATCTGCCGTCCCTCGCTTGGTTCAATGATTATGAGCATTCCCAGCCAACCCGCCTCCACCGATATGCAGAACCCTCTCTGGTCCTTCAGCTTGTGGGAAACAACTGGAACACAGCCAGGAGAAGCACTCACTGCTACCGCTTCCCTTCCACCACAGCGCTCACCGCTTCGCTCTCCTCAGCATCCTTCTGTCTCCTAGCAACCAGCTGGGCATGACATCAGAGTTGGGAGGCACCACAAGGACCAGGGACAAGACTAAAGGGATATCGGTGACTGATGATGGGAGGCTTGGCTGTGGTCGCCTCCTATACAGATCCCCCACATGCTCACGTGCCATTTGTATTGTGATGTTGTCACATCTGTGTCACCGATAGATGAGCCCCCAAAAATCATTTTTAGCACATAAATTCTTATAGTTCTACATAACTAGGGGCTTGGCCATTGCCTAAAAAGCTTGTGCTGGACGCCAACTGCCACATGGGATATCGGAGGATTCCACAACAATCTAAACCCAGAATAATCTCCTGCAGGCAGTCAGGTCAAGGTGACACTCCTGAGGGTAAGGTGGGTAAGAGAGGGGAGCACAATTTTCTGTCCTTACCACGGGTGCAAAAGGATCTAGCTACGGCTCTGCATGTCCCTACACTGAACTTGTAGGATGTCTGACCCTAGAGAGGGTAACAATAGATTTGGATTGCTGCCCACTGTAATTGATAATTGATCTGCCTGTGGAGTTATAGTAGCTCAGTTCTTCTGTAACCACTTTCTAGTCGTATGTAGTTGAACTACTGTCTTTCTGAGGTCCTCTGAAATTGTTTGGTAAGACTCTGCACTTGAACTACATTATGTTGTAGAGTAAAAGTAACAAAAACTGTATTTTTCCCCTATGGCATAGCAGGTCAAGCCAGGACTTGAATTGACTTTATTTCCTGATATATTGATTATAGTAGCCCGACTATTATCATGATGTCATTATAATAGATATTCACATTTATTTTACCATCAATGTAGGTGTTTAAACTACAACCAAACCAATATTGAACATATGCTGCCTGAATCAGCCTAATTCTATCCACAGCTTTTCTTAGACTGTTTAGGGAAGAGTTGACTCTGTGTACCCTCTGGAGAGGTTTTTCCTCATTTCCTATGACAGAGTGAGAGGGAAAGGAAGTGACTGTAAATATCTCCAATAGGAACTGAGACGGCAGTACAAAAAACGTTTTCAATAGACTGGAGAAGGGTTACAACCCTCTGGGAGATGTCTGATGTACACTGTTCCTTACTGTCCCAGTAACCCATATTCCCTCTCATTCCTTCTCTTGGTGAAATCTTTGCAATTGAGTCACAGAAAGTCATGAAGCTGACAGAGCTTCTATCCATTCCCACTATTAAAAACTAAAGGAAAAGCAAGGCTTACTTTTTAACCTTCTCATAGACAGCACAATGCCCTCTCCTTTGCCTCTTTGATGTCATCAAAGGGACTATTGAGGTCTCAGGCCACAGAAGGAAAAGGGCAGGATCCAAGAGGGAGCCTGCTTCTCTTCCTCCAGATGCAGGGTGCCCTCTTAGATCATGAATTTGGGCACTCATACATGATCTAAAGTCTTCAGTCCACTGGAGCTAGGAGGCAGGATCCCAGAGGGAACCTGTTTACTTCCTCTAGATGAAGGGTGCCCTCCTAGATCATGTATTGGGCGCTAATTGGCAAGCAGTTGGGGTACATAAGCAGTGACAATGCTAACATTCCTCCCCAGCATACTAGTGACGCAGCCCTGTGTGGCTGCTGAGGGTGATAGTACTTCAGTGAATACACCATACTGTAGCTTGGCCACCATGCTGTAGGAAGAACACAATTTTGTACCTTTTTTATTATGCTTTACCTTCTTCTATTCAGCAAATGATTATATTTCTGATAGTTGTCTTTCTTCTTTTTCAGTTTACTTTTGCACTTAATGCTGTAGGAAAACTTCATTTAAACCATCTTCTTCACTACTACCCTATTTCTGGTTCTTGTTCTTCAGAATCCTTTCTTTTTCAGAGGGGGTCAATATTTGGACTCTGTATTGTGAGAAAAAGCCTAGTGTGATGGATTTACTGTATGTTCGGTATGGAATAGTCTTTTATGTGATCTGAGAGGATGGAGCAATCAGAGATGTGGTAGAGGTTAAGTACCTTAATAAAAGACTATTTTATTGTTGTTGGGTTTACCCGTGTCATTTCTTTACTGACTTTCTCTAGATGTCCAATGGTTTTGGGGCTAAAATACAATTTAATATTATTTTTTTAGGCAGGTAAATATGAATTAACACATATTAATGTTTTATATATCAGGGGTAGGCAAAGTACAAATCCCATTAAGCATTACAAGATTCTGGCAACCACAGGCATGACTCCCAGAGGCAAATGCATGATGGCATTTGTAGCTTTGCCGAATGGAGGGCCAGAGTTTTCCTACTGCCTACTGCCTACTCCTGCTTTATGTCCAGTCAGCACATAGAGCTCTCATCTTTTTATTTATTTCCATCTTCTACTTAGCTGCATTGCTAACAAAAACTGTTATTTATAGAGCTCTGTGGCTCAAGCTGCCTCGCCTTCTCCTTACAGAGTTTCAGTAGGAGAGAGAGTCTAAAAGGAAACATATTCTGATGTTGTCCTCTTTAAAAAACTAGGAATGCTTTGTGATACAACTTGTCATAAAATTAGAAAATCCATTCAATTTAATCAATGTTCTTTTTTTTAATCTACAACATACAGTGATCTCAGTGATATAGGTGTGTCGGGTTCCTGAAGCCCGTGCTGTGTAACTTCTACTGTGTAACATTAGCGGGTGGTATGATAGGTTGAAGCAGAATTCTAGGCAGCCCAAAGAATCCCCAATGCAAAAGCAATGTCTTCTCCTACCAAACTTTGTCTTTCTATTTCATACCTATCATACAGAGCAGAAATCCTCATCTAAAGTCTATATTTACATTTCCCATGGCAGCAACCTCTGCTGGTAAGTTTCTGTAGGTGGTCCACATTATTTAACTGGACAGAATCTTCTTTGGGTTCCTTTTCTGAAAACAGAAGCTTTCTTCCTGTTGGTTCCTATTGGTTCTTCCAGCTAGTAGCCCACCCAATCCCCCTTTAAAAGTATGTGGATTGCAGTAGAAGCTTCTGCCTCTTAGCAGCGGAAATCTGTCCACCAGTGTAAGAAGACAATAAAAACTTGACAAAGGGACAAACCCTTATCCAGTCTATCCAAAAGTTGAAATTAGTTACACAAAAATTGCAGCAAGAACACTGCACATGCGCAAATGAAAATCTGTTCTGACGATTGACGAAATTCGGTGAGTTAGTATTGCTAACGAACGATTGGTCTGTGCACGATGGGCTATTGGAGCTAGAATCGAACAAGGGTTCTTGGCAACAACGGAAATTTCCGATCGAGAATCTATACATGTATGGCCAGCTGTATACTTGCATACAAGGATTTTTCAGGCATATAGTCCACTGCATGACTAAGTAATTATATCAAAGAGGTTCTGATGATTAACAAAATAACACGTAGGTTTAATACACGATTATTAAATAAAAACGAATCAGCTGTGTAGGAGGAGTGGTAAGGAGAAGCAATGCTCTACTAATGAGTTGAGGTTGCAGAAAACAGTTTCATGTAAAAAATGTAAACGATGGGCTAGACTAAGTACAGCAACAAATCACAGGGTGGACTTCCTGCATGAACAAGGTCTCTCACTGGCAGAAATTTCCAGATGTGTTGTAAAAGCTCTTCTGTAGAAGCACAAAAAAACAGGCAATGTTTTTCGGCCAAGAAATCTTGCAGCAGACGAAAGACATATGCTGACTATGCAATTGCAAGATTTTCAGTGGCACCATTAGCTCAGACCTGGTATAAACCAATAGGACCCTGGTAAACCCATCTACAGTTCAAAGAAGTCTGATCAAAAGTGGTCTTCGTTGAAAACATACAGCCTAAAAGCCATACTTCCAACATAGAAACAAGTGCCTTGCTTATGCACAAAAATGCAAGAAATGGTGTGCAGAAAATGGCAGGAAGTGCTGTGGACTGATGAGCCCAAATTGGAAATATTTGGTAGTAAAAGAAGGCAGTTTGTTTGGCAAAGCGCCGGGGAACAGGAATAAGTGTCTGAAAGCAACAGGAAGTATGGTGGAGGTTCCTTGCAGGTCTATGGCAGCATTTCTGGACATGAAGTTGGGGACTGGGTCAGAATGAATGGTCTCCTCAATACTGAAAAAGTACAGGCAGATACAGTGATTATCCATCCTGCAATAACATCAGGGAGGCATTTGACTAGTCATAAATTCATTCTGCAGCAGGATAATAAACCCAAGGATGCAGCCATAAAGAATGTGTGTGTATGGGGCTAAAATAGTAAACTGTTTATATTCCTTAACATCACAAATGCCAAATCCTTAATAGATCTGAATTACACTCTATGAATGCTAGAACATAATATGATGTACAGTCTGTACAGATAAAATTATACAGAAATACTGAAAATATGAAAGCTCATATACATTCAAAGAAATCAAATGTAATTACTACCCTGTAATTATCCTGCAATTTCCTACTCTGTCTGCCTATAAGCAATCAGTGAAAACTCATCTCTTCAGGGAAGCCTATCCTACCATTTAGAAACTGAACTTTTACTTCCTCCACAAGCACTAAATGGATAAATTGGAAAGTAAACAAATAGTTGGAAATTCGTTACAATATTCCTTAATTAATCTTTCTTTTTAATTAATTTATTACTGTGTTATTGTTTAAAAAGGCTTGTTTCCTCCTATAGTTTGCACACACACAGATATTTGTATATATATATATATATACACACACACACACACACACACACACACACACACACTCAGTATATATACACAAATGCATGCTTAACCCTTGAACATCAGATAACCAGAAATGGTGGCGCTTATGTCTGAAAAGTGTTTTTTGCACACAATGAAACACCCTTTTGCTAGTGATATCTACATTAAGTTCAAATAGACATATTTTTTAGTAATTAAATTATCAAGAAGTATTGAGTTTAAAAACAAGAAAAGGCTGAGCCGGTGGTGCGAGGGAGGAGTCAGCTTACAAATTGGACCAAGCTCTCCTCCCCGCACCGCCCGCTCAGCCTCCTGTGATAGCTGCAATAGTCAGGATGGAGAGCGGTACACTCAGCGATCAGTGATCACTGAGTGTTTGTAAATAATTGAGGACAGAGTATGCTTACTGTGTCCCCAATTATGAATGAACAAGAAGTGCTCTACATCACTTCCTGTTCATTCAGGATTGTGGTTATACTAAACATACTATATCCACAATTTATGAATGCACAGGAACTCAGAATAGAGGATTCCTGTTCATTTATAACAGGGGCTGCAGAAGAGGAGATGGAGGACTCTGTGTCCTCAATCTCTTTTTCTATTTTCCAAGGGAAATATCAGGGGTCTGTTCAAAGCCTCCAGCGGTAAAGTTAAAAAATAACAATATTTAATACAAAAATAAATAAATAAAAAAATTAAAAGTTTAAAAAAAAAGAAAAAT